TTTTTTTTTTTTTTTTTTTTTTTTTTTTTCCTTACGAACTCTGCTTTCTTCAAACGCGCCCGCACCTGGGCACTAATAGTGTCAGGTTCAAGCGATCGTTGACAGTTGCTGCCCGTTTCTAATCATGAAGGACACAACTGTTTACTACCATGACATTTAGGAAAGGAAAAAAAAAAAAAAAAAAAAAAAACTATAAAAAAAAACTAAAAAGAAAAGGAGGAAACAAACTCACCTAAAGCATGTGCAGAGAGTCCCCCGTAACCGCCCCCCCACGTAGCTGCTCAGCGCGGCAGATTCATTCGTTTTTTTGCCCATCCATAGATGGATTGTTGGGGCACAGCCCCCTGATGAGTTGTTGAAAGTCCGACGAAACAGTCTGGCACAGTCACGTCCTTTTGTTGTTTTGGTCCATTCGTTCGAAACGAACGGGTGCTTCAACCGAAAAGTTAAGCACGAAGAAAACAAAAAAAGAAAAACAAAGAAAGAAAAACAAAAAAATATAAACAAAATTATATAAAAAAAAAATAATAAAAATATGAACGAAATCTAACAAAACATTAAAAAAAACTAAGAAAACTTACCTTTGCGAAAAAATGATCGCTTGTTTCCACGAGCGACTGCTTAGTGTAATAGGGCTGGAAAACCCAAGTCACTTCCGAGTGCGCCACATGACGCTTCACTTCTTAGGGTTTTTTTTTTTTTTTTTTTTTTTTTTTTTTTTTTTTTTTTTTTTTTTTACTTTTGTTCGTTGGCAAAGCGAACGGTCTTACCTTGTCGTGACACACCCACGACCTGTTGAAATACAGACGCGAATTTGAATCCACGAATTCGAAAGAATTTTTATTTTATTTTTTTTGACTTGTGTGTGTCATCCTTGGACAGGAGCCAAACCAACTCCGTGCGACTAATTTCAGCTGTGCAATCTCGAAGATCGCACGACCGAAATCAGCCGCGTCCAATCCCACGTTGCGGCAGCTCCAAAAGGAGCTGACCCAATAGGATGCGGCATACCTGATGCGATCCCGGTTTCTGTCGGGTATTAGTCATATGCTGTAAGCTACTAGTCTAGCTTCTATCACGGGAGCTATGCATGCAACCCTTAAAAAATAGAAAGGTTGTAGCTCAGTAGGTTTGTCATCTCAGGCCTAGGCAGGCTTAGCCCTGCCTCGCGCTGCTAAAGCCAACGCCCCGCTACCTAACCGGCTGGAATTCAGCCCGGCGGCCCGGCAAGGCACCCTGTTAGCCGCGTGTCCGACATTGGGCCCTGGCGCGGAGTTAAATCTCACAACACCCAAAAAATAGGTAACCCTTCTCTCCCACGTCGCGGTCCTGTACTCGGTGCGTCCATCTTTCTAGCCTATTAGGCTCTGAATCGCGCGGCTGCTAAACCGCACGTCATTATTTTAGGTAGTATAGGTCTAGCTTTAGCATTTCCATGTCAGCGCTCTACTGCGGCTTTGACAAAAGCGAAGCACTCCCAGTTACTGTCGCTACTCTCGGACGCCACAAGCGACCGCACTAAAACTCAAAAAACTTTTTGTCTCTTGATCAAAGGTCAGACCTGAATAAACTTTTGACAAACGTCAATCTCATCAAGTCCCCCGATTCAACGAGAAAGTCGAACAACGTCCGATATTGAAAATCCCCGGTGCCCCGACATCGGGAGCGAGGTGGGGGGGGGCAGCGTGGGCACATGGCGTGTGCGTGTGCGGCGACCTTGACCTTGGCGTGGGCACGTGGCGCGTGCGTGTGTGGCGGCCTTGGCCTTGGTGCTTGCGGGCACGCGGCATCACTCGCTGTCGGGTTTACACCGTTTTTCCACAGTGGGGGCCTGGGTGGGTGGGAGTGGGGAACTTTCCCGCTCTGATACCAGTGTGCCGGACCCTGCGGGATGACGGTCCGTCAGGATGGAGGAGGGTTGTCGAAGGAGGAAGTAGAGATGGAGCTGGAAGGGAGATGTGCCAAAGTGAAGAATGACGAAATACAGACTGCCGCTGGGGTATAACCCCAGCGGACTGACTGGCCTGGTACCGACAGTGGTATTGGGCAGGACTGGACTGGACCGAAAACAGTACACGGCCTGTGGGGTCAGGCCACGGCCTGGTCCCACAGGCCAAACTGGCAAATAGCCGAGTAGGCCCTGGCTGTTGGCCAGGGCAGATAGAGGTCCACCGCACTTAGGCTCCAGGGCCTGTGTTAGGGCCTCTTGGAACTACAGTTCCACTGGTCGAATTATGGCCAGTACAGGTGAGAGGCCGTTGTACTATAACTAGTATAGATAGCAGATGTAGTATAGATAGCAGATGTAGAAGAGGTAGATAGTGTTAGATTTAGGCTCTGCAGCCTCAGAACTGCTGGGTTGGGAAAAGACCCGCAGGCACAGCCTGTAAGCTAAGCTGGATGATGCCTCTGATTCAACTTTGAAATGACATTCGAGTTTGCATAAGGCCTACTCAGTTGGTACACCACTGGGACATACACACCCGAGTTCGAACTCCATTGGAAGCAGATGACCGAAAAACTGCAATTCTGAATTACCTGGGGCCAAGTCCCACTAGCAGCGTTGAGTGTCCTCAACGCCTGAATCTCGTCGTGTTTGTGGAGATGTGCAGAAATGGCGTTGAGTTTCGTCAACCGCACATGTCCACAAACACGTCCAGATTCAGGAGTTGAGGAAACTCAACGCTGCAAGTGGAACTTGGCCCCTGCGGCCGTTCAGTTCAAATGACGATATCGCAAGGCTGTAGGCCTTTTCAAAAAAGAAACAGAAAAAAATGATCCCCGACGGTCAGGATCTTTCAGTGTGTTTTTCGTTGTTCTCATCCGACGACAGTACGGCGATTTGGCTGCGGGACCGAGAGCGAGGCGGTACCCTTACACATGACAGGCGTACGAGACATGAGATGGTATCGCTGGGGAGAATGTGGCTAGGGGCTCGGTGCTTCCCGATCCTCTTGGCGGGGTTTCTGGCTCAGAACGGCTGGCCGCCCTTCTGACCCAGAAGGATCGCCGGATCGTCCGATAGTCCATCATCACACAGAGTCCTATGGTCCACCATTCATGATATCATAGAGGTCGCTCATGCGTCAGTGTGGATCTCACCGGCCTGCCACTTCAGCTTGTCATGTCATGGGAGAGCGCCGGAGTATGAGAGTGGGGATGCTGCTCCGCCGCTGTCCAGTGACGCGGGCGTGAGGTTGAACCGCGAAGGTCTTGGAAGCGGAGGAGCGCAAGGCTCTACTAGAGATAGTCGGCAATTGCGGGAAAATGGCGGTGGTAGTCTCGCTGTTGTTTGCATGAATTGTTTAACGGGACAGCGGCACCAAGTAGCGTGCTGGCAGGCTTACTAATCAAAGAATCATCAATCTCATCTCCATTGGATGAGCAAGGAATGACCCGTCTTGTCTTGAAAGGTCTGAAAAGTGTTCCGGTGAAAAGCGGGCTACACGTCATATGCCATGACAGAGGCGTCCTCAAAGCAGTGAAAGGACATCTGTCAGCAGCTCGTGAAAGACGAAGAACCCCGAGCAGAGCAGCGCAGAACGCAGCAGGCGCTATATCCACTTGATTATTTGCATACCTGGTAGGGTGGGCGATAAATAGGTGTAGAGAAGAGTGAGAGAGCGCGATTATCAGTGTTAAGGGAAAAAAAAATCGTGAAAACGAGCGTGTCGCGCAGTTGTTCATGCGGGAAAGGTCCCACATCAGAACAACGTTACGTGGCGCGAAATTGGAAAACAGTCTAAAGTGTCGAGGAAAGGAGGTGAAGCGTCTACAGCGCTCAAGAAGTAGTAGCAGCAGCAGCATTAGCAGTAGAAAATAAATGAAAACCGGCGATCGACACAACGAGCACTTGAGGGGCTCGGCTGAGAAGCCTCGTTGGAGCAGGCGTGTTGAGGTGGTGGCGTACTTGTGGGTGAAGAGATGGAGGGAAAGATGAGGTGCAGATGTCGTAGTGTCAGAGCGATAGGAAGAGGGCTGTGTCGTCGTCATCCATTATTGTTTGGCTCGGGTGCTCTATAGGCGCCACTAGCGCACAGCTCACCAAGATCATCCTCTGGACAAGCTCTTTGAAAAAAACAACAACAACATATCTGCATCACACGTGTGAAAGCCATCCGTGACCTTAGCAGCAGAAGTTAAGTAGTTGTAGGGAAGAGGTAGTGACGATGCTCTGGAAACCGGACGTCTTTTGGAAGAACACCTCTTCTTTTACTATCATCAACCCCAACGACGAAGACGTTGAAACTGGATATAACAACTGACACGAAAGAAAAAAACATATCTGCATCACACGTGTGAAAGCCGTCCGTGACCTTAGCAGCAGAAGTTAAGTAGTTGTAGTGGAAGAGGTAGTGACGATGCTCTGGAGACCGGACGTCTTTTGGAAGAACACCTCTTCTTTTTCCATCATCAACCCCAACGACGAAGACGTGGAAACTGGATATAATAACTGACAAGAAAGCCGTGAAAATCTGACCCCCGAAACCACGAAAAGCCTCAGGAAACTCGCAAAAAACGCTGAGAAAAGCGAAATTTCCCGAAATTCGGGAAGCAAATAGAAGGAAAGGCAGGCAGGCAGGCAGGCAATATCGCAAGCTCGCTTGGCTTGGCCATGAAGCCGTCTTCATCATCCTTATCAGGAAGGGCAGTGGGAATGGGGTTCGACATCAACGTTCCTCCTCCGACGGGGGACGACGACCCTCGTACGAAGGAATTCCCCGCCCCGGTCATGGTGAAAAAACCTCAGAGAGAACCTGTGGAAGTCGTTGACCTCGAGAAACAAGTCACGGATGACGAAGGACACGAAGAGGAAAACGAAGAGGGGGACGATGAGGGAATTCTTGTTCATGATAGGATGCGTGTATGCCCTCGACCTGATCGCTCAGGCCTAATTGGCAGGAATGATCGATTTCACAGGCGGTCTGCGGCCGTGGCCGGGGTGACACGGGGCGGTTCTGATCGGGAACCCCCGGCAAAGCAGGGTGATGAGAAAGCAATTCTGCAAAACATTATGCAGGAAACACTGCGAGATCCGATGAAAGACGTCTGTGATGCCAACGAAGACGAAACGGAGTTGGGGGAAGAGGAAGCGGAGGAAGACGAGAAGGGGGAGGAAGAAGGAATGGGGTGGCATGGGGACGGTGACGAACCGGAGGAGGATGCTGAGGACGATGAGGGGGAGGCCGAAGAGACGGATGGCGAGCAGGCCGAGGTACACATTTTTCCAGTCCAAGCGCGTGCAAGGGTAAGAGAGCCCAGTGGTAGTTCTTCGAGGCAGAAGGGCGAGGCATCCATGGCTATGCGAGGAAAGGAGCAACATTATTGTGGCGACGAGAAAAAGTACGAGGAGGATAAAGTGCTGGACGAGCGAGGCGGAAAAAAAGAGGGGGTGTCGCAGTCTCCATGTGATAGGGATACCTCCATTCGGCGATCGGGCGGTCAGGAGGTGCCACGTGGCGAAGAGCGGAGGGCGATGGACAGTGCAGGAGAGGGAGAATGTGACATCACTACTGCTCATTCTACCCGGCCTGCACAAACGCTACGATCGAGAACCCTAACTGGAGGTATGATTTATGGTTCTTCTTCTTCTCTTTCTTCTACTCAGCGTCCTCCACCTGCTTCTCGAGGGGATGACAAACTTTCGCCTTCGTTTCCCGCTGCGGCGACGGCAGGATTGGCAGGATTGGTTGGTCCTCCCGTTCGTGAAGAGGTTCGGTTGGGGGATAAAGATACAACGCTAGGATCAACACAGTCACACATGGCGGGCGTCGCTCGGATGGACGGAGGGGGGGGGGGGGGGGG